AAGCACATAGCATACTTTTCTTTTTTATAAGTAAAATTCTAAATAAACACATCATATACTCATTTTTTGCAAAATTTTCTCATGACAAAAAAACTATAAAAATCAGATGCTTACCCTTTTAGGTACACAAAACTGAAACCTTTATCATGTGTGAACATTTCATGCTCCACATAAGGCATCTTTAATCATTAAATCTCCAGAAAAACACATACAAACAGCTCAACAGAGTCAGAAAATTCAACTTTCATAAGCAAAGTTCCAAATAATCCATGGGATAAAACTGATTAAAGTTTATAATAGTCTAAAACATCTTCAGTCAAATTACAAAAAGAGACCGTGAGCAACAAAAAAAAATTCGATCAGTTGACCAAATATACTTTATTTCTTAAAAAAGGTCCTTCAAATTTATACATTCCATATTGGGACATGTTGGTAGGTTTATCATGATTCTACAAAAATAATATTTTACACAACTCTGCAGTTTGCAAGTCACATTCATTTAAACAATGCATCTCGTTTTAATCACTAGAAATTTTTTTTTGTATTTTGTGCTGACATATCAATTTACTCCTAGAAAAGCAGCACAGGACCTAAAGTAAAAGTGCTAACATGACTAAAACATATTCTCAACTTTAAAAAAAAATCATGAAAAAGTAAATACAAAAAATCTGTAAAAATACAAAGTTGTTGTACCTTCCCTTCGGTAACTATGAGGCGGTTAAGAGAGGGAACTTGTTGCATTTTGAGACCCAAAGAATCCCAAGAATCAGCTTTAAGTATAACCAAAGCAGCTTGTGAAACTTTCCAAGCCGATACATTTTCACCAGCCTCTATAAGGTCTCTACGTGCCTTAATTACGGCTCTATCAACTCTCTCAACAGCCTCGTTACCTCTCGAGGAACTCTGCGGAGGCTGCTGAAATTGAAAATTAGGATTTTGTTGGATTGGAAAGTTTGCGAAATTAGGGGTTTGAATTGGAAAATTGGGGTTTTGGGGAAAGAAGGGGTTTGAAGGAACGAAATAGTTTGGAGGTTGAGAAGGAATAAAGTTGTGATTTTGAAACCCTTCATGTGGTACCGGTGGCTGTGGCTGTTGCATCGGTGGCCCGCCGCGCCATCTTCCACCTCCGCCGCCGTTGCACGGTGGCTGTCCGTACATTATAAGAGTGCAAGAGGGAAACTAGCAATGGCGGAAGGGTTTAACAGAGGGTTTAGGGGCTGCGCTTTCTTTATATATAATCCCGTGGGTATAAATGAATAACCGCCAAAAGTAGTTGTTTCCGTTTTTCTTTTTCTTTTTTCATTAGGATTTTTTTCTTTTTTTTACTTCTTCAAAATCTGTAGGATAAATATCTCAACATTTCACAATGGACTTGCTCGAAACACATTATTTTGAGTTTGGCTTGNTTTCAATAAAATATGTAATTTTATGCACATAATTCCTTGAGTTGGTAAGTTTTAAGAACATTCCATAGATGCAAAAAAGAGAATGTAGTAAATATGACTTGGGCACGATAAACATTTCAATTTTTCTGTATAGAGATATTTAGTATAGCAAAAACATTCCTCTATAAATGTCTTTGTATTTTAATAATAGGCCACTCCGAAGGAGTAGGAATTGGCTCACTAGGTTCTTCAACTAAAAAGTAGTCAAATCGCAAAACTCCTTATTACAATCCTCCTTTGATGCCTATTTATTAGGTCTAACTGACCAAGCTTGAAGTCTACCAACCATTTTCAAGTCGGGAATGCCACATCATTATGATATTCTAATATGTTGACTTCCTTGTCGCATAAGTTGCGACCTGCACGAATGGTGTAACGACTGCCATGCTATCTCCGGCATGGACCCCGTGAAATTGAATTCTCCGTGATGATGCGGAGTACCAACGGCTAGACGGTAAGACCCCGTGCACCTTAACTATAGCTTCGCAGTGACAATCCTAATCGAATGTGTAGGATAGGTGGAAGGTGGTGACACACAACGACCAATCCTGAAAGACCACTCTTTCGTCTAAGGATGCCTAACCGACGCACCGGTCATTCGGGGGGAGGCGGGACACTGCAAGGGCGTGTTCGTTTTGGCTTCCGAGTGAGAACGATAAATAGGTGATGCACCATCCTTGCTGCTATGTACGTTAGGTGCAACTAATTAAAAAACAAATATGATTGATAAATTTCAACAAAACAAATTTTGGTATTCACGACGACGGTTGATCGCCACCAAAAATAGGTAACGATAGTTCAGTTAGTAATGGTTTGAAGAACTATTGAATAAATTTGAGGTATTATCACTTTTAGCCCGCGCTAGAAACTATTTATATNATATATATATATATATATATATATATATCCCATCTCATTATTTTACGTCAATGGCTTTCTGGGTTTATTTTCTGAGAAGTTTTTACATTTTCATTATTCTGCTTCAATGGATTTCTGGATCTGAAGAGGTAAGAAGGGGAGGAGAGGGTTTGGGAGGGAGAACAAATTGAGAGAGGAGATGGGTTGAGATGGATTTAATTGAAAAAGTAAGGATTAATAATTGAACAAACTTTCAGTTATTAGAGAATAAATCCATAGTTAAAAATCAGGATTAATCCTTTTAAACTTGATATTTAAAATGGAAATCTGAAATATGGTGAGAATGAGGTAATAGAGAGTATGCCAATTCTTTCACGATGGTTCCCCTTTCTGCTTTTTGTATGATCTCCCCTTCTTAACAAACCAGCAGCCTATGAAAAGGAAGATAGAAAATTATGTCACAAAGAGGGCAGGTGAGAAGAGAAGGAGAACGAGACAGAGAGGGAAGAGAGGGATGAAAGGTCGGGAGCAAAGGGTGGGGCATAATACCGACCGAACCGAGAAAAATGTCAAAATCGAAAATTTTAATTTATTCGGTCTTGATTTTTCGATTTATTCGGTCGGTTTGCGGCTTATATACTTAAACAATTCGGTATTCGGTTCGGTTATCGGTTTTTGGTTAAATCGAAAAACCGAAGTTTAGTGATAGTGAGTAACTTTAGTGGCGAGTCCAAGATTCCATGCAAATTAGATAGTTTTAACTACCATTGGAAATGTTGTTACTTGCAACAAAGTAAAAAAGACAAGAGTTTCAGGAGTAATTTAACTAATAATGCATTTATGATAAAATCTCATCCAACAATATTACAATATTATATTAAAACTAAGTTTTAAAGGAGAGACAACCTGCACAATCTTCGATACCAGAAGTATTACATATTAACGCAGATAATGTAATTCCTCACGGTGTATTGTCAATTAACCTATCATTATTTGGTTACAATTTTTTTCATGACTTGAAAACCGAAACCGATCCGATTAAAATCAAATCGAACATGAATAAACCGAATTGAACCGAAATTATTACGGTTCGATTTTGATTATTAAAATCATAAATCGAAAACTGAATGAACCGAACCGAACTTCTGTAAAACCGAACCGAACCGAACGACGCCCACCCACCGTTTAGTTCTTTGTAAAAAGACAAAAAAAGGTCTCCCTCATTAATGTATTACAATAGCTTATAAGGGGTATTTAAGGAAAATAAAAAATAGGGACAATACGGGAACTTTACATAACTGTCACAATTTAAAAGAAATATAACAAATTCGTAGCATGAAATCCAATATTTATAGTTGTGGCAGGAAAATATTTATGCTTGTAGCACACAGTTCCATTAAAATAGGAATATTAATTATTAATCTCTAAACATAAGCAATTTGAATGGAGAGTCAATAATTCTTTGTACAAAAATCATGCATTTTTTTCTCTTTATCTATTAGCTTTCCTTCTTTTTCTTCATCTTCTTAATTTTATTTTCTGCCGAAGCCAATATATTTTTTAAATTTATTCCATTCGTTTTCTTTTTAATTATCTTTCTTAAGTTTTTCTCTTCCTTCCTTCTTCCTTTCTTAACATAAAGATCTTACTTCGATAATAATATACGTCAATATATACAAAACGTATATAAAAAAAAAATATTGAATTAATACATATAAAATATACAAAAATATACATAAAAAATACATCTTCAATTAAGATGACACTTAGACATGTGAAATATACACAAAAAAATATATCTTAAATTTAATTAAGATGGCATATAAATATACAAAAAACATATATGTAAAAAATACATCCTGAATTAAAATGGCACTTGACATATAAAATATATTTGAAATATACATTAAAAATACATCTTAAAATAAGATGACACTTCACAAATAAATATACAAAAATTATATACATAAAAATACATTTTGAATTAAAGTAATACTTGATATACAAAGTATATAAGACATATAAATCAATACATCTTGAATTTAAGTGGCATTCACATATGCATTAAATTTTAAAAAATGGAGTGAAGAAGATGAATGTTGGGCTTAATTTTTGTAATATGCTAATAATGAAAAAAAAGATGCTCTTTATGGAATAAACAATAAATGATGCTATTTTTTTAAATAATAGTTAAAAAATGATCAAGTGTGTAAAAAACTCCAATACATACTAACATACTACCTTCATGTAGTATGTTAGCAAGACCCTATATATATATATATATATATACACACATTTTTTCAGCTATTCTATCTTTGTACACCCAAAGGGTGGAAACTCAGAAAATTCTGAAATTACAGAATAAGTATGTAAGTCCGCATAAACACCTATATATAGATTCCAGTGACTGTCTTTAAAACTGTCTTCAACCTTTTTAAAAGCATTACGTTGATCATCACATTCTTCTAATTGAGTTGAATCCATAAACATCTTCTTGTATATTATCAATTGAAAAGATTTTCGACGAAAAGGTAGGGAGATCACAGCAGAAATGCAAGGGAAATCAAAATTTTGATCAACTGACAAGGCAAATTGCACAGCTTGCAAAATTCCACAATTTACACTAGGTTTGTTGTTGTATAAGAGAATAATGGTTGCCCAGTTTCTAGGCACAATTCACAATAAACTCAATTTGTATTTGCTATCAACCTTCTAGTATACAAATTTTACTTGAATCAACAATGATATAGTATTTAAGAAAACAAATACAAGGAACATCTCCATATACATATATTGTTGTCATTTCTAAAATGAGACTTACAGTATAAAGTGAAGCACTTAGCTGAAATTACTGGCTCCCCAAGGTGAAACTGCAATCCAGCTCAAGCTTCCCCAACAATGTTAGGTCAATATTTACCGTAAATTCTTAAATAAAGCACTTTGAAAATGATGTGCAGCTCAGCCGGCGGCTGAATGATGCAGCCTGGACAATTTCTTATTCTCTATCATCTGCTAAAACTTTAGTCCAGTTGATTGAGTTCTTGTATGATTGTATGAAGTAACAGAAATTAGTGTATCATTCTAATGTACATCTTAAAAAGTATCATGACTTGGATATTGTGAGAGCTAACTGAAGTTTACCAAGCTGACAAAGTCTGAATGGGTTTTTGTATACCGTCACTGCTGCTGAATTATTGGGCAATAATACAACATGGGCAACGCTAAAAGATTCACCTTTCTTAACTGCAAACTGCCATTCCCTCGAGCTAATATGGAACCAATCCTTTCCCATCAATCTAGTTGCCTTTACTTCTATGTATTCGTCATCTCCCACAACAAGGTCATAGGGAAGCCCCGTTTCGTTGGTTTCATTGACCCATTTCACAAGAGGCTCACCGAGTTTCTCCGAGAAGTACTTGAAAGCAAAAAATTCTCCAAGCCTGCCAGTTTCCCATTGAGCATCAGTTGTGCCTACATACAGCTGATCTCTTTCTGTCACATCAGATGAACTATAATTCACGTCTTGTGGTTCAGTCATGGGATGAGAAGAATCGAATGCCTCCTTCATAGTACCAGGTACGAGCACATTACATCCTACTACAACTGCATCTGCTGCTGGACCGTTGTCCACATTCTCCACACAAGTCATCTCAGTTGGAGGCAGCTCACATGTTATGATTACAATTTCTTCCACTGTCTCCTCTTTCGATTGTATGCCACGTGCTGCCTCTGACTTCGCAACACACACACTAGAGCGTCGAAAACCAGGAGCGGTTTTCCAGTCTGTAGGTGGCCAGTTTGAGATGATTCCTGGTCTCTTCTTGATTTTCACAGGGTTTTTCTCATCAATTGTTCTAGAAGAGCTCATCATCCCTGTCTCACTATCTGTTGACAACGGAACATTTCCAAGTGACCAAACAGATTCTCCTGCAGGAAGCTTAGGCATTTTCTGGCTATTCAAAATGAAAAACTCAGTTTGCTCCTCATTGGAACCTGATTCTGCCATAGTTGTGATCATATGAAGAAAGTTTGCCAAGTGCAAGTCGGGAGTTCCAGAAGAAAACAGACGAGAAATCTCCATGAATATTGAGTGAGAATCTGATTCTTGAGTGGCATACAAGATGTTTCCCTGTCAGAGTAAAAAAACAAATTACCTATACATACTTTTGTTTTTATGAGGAATAAGATTTCAACTAATAAAGATCTGCACATTCTTAATAATGTTAGATCTCCATGAACAACTGGGAAAGGGAAAACCCATATCTAACAAGCATGTGTTGTAAGTTTATGAAATATTCAGCCTAAAAAGATCCGGAAATTGAAAGGGAAGAAAAGCAAAAAACACAAAGGAGACATAACTCAAGATTTGTACATCACTGTGTAGAAGTGCTACAGTCTTGGCTTACATAGGAGCGGTCTTACATATTTATTCCAATCTGACCATTAGATAATCCTTTTTCATAAGAGTTCAATAAAGTATCAAATAACACACAGATTTTCCAAAAACATCTCATGTATGTAACACAATATGGATATAAGAACCCATATATGCTGTCATGATTAGAATACCTCTAGCAGACAACTGCATTCAAACCGTTTCTTCGATGCTATTTGAGAGCTTTTTATAACATTCCTGAAGAACAACTTTTCTACAACAACAATCTGTAGGTATTTCAAGTTGCGAAATCTGGACTGGCTGAGCTGCAAATACTTGTCTGGATGAACACTATAAATATAGCGTTGAGCATATGGAAGGGCCCAGTTGACCACTGAAGCTACAAAGCTAGAGTCTGTTGAACCATCATATATTGCTTCACGAGTTACAACCTGCAAAAGAACAAATACTAAATATTTCAAATTGACCTGAAAGTCGTGTTACTCTAAGTCTGCCCCAATTTAAGTGTCTTAATATGACTAGGCACAGGTATTAAGGCAAGAGTGAAGTTTTATCGTAATTAAGCAAGTAATGGTCAAAAAATTGGAGAAAACTTTAACTTTTCGAAAAGTTAACTTTCTTTGATGAATAAGTGGGACAAATGATACCTTTTTTTTTGTAGGATACTAAGAAAGCATAGAATTGTATGAAAGTGGACATCAACTGGAATAATCCAAAATAGTATAGCTATAGTATAGAAAATGTGGGACAAAGGAAGTAAACATCAATATCGAAAGAGCAACTAGTATACACGTGGAGAAAAGATAATTCAGATTCCATTTAAGCAAAGACTAGCATGTTGTTTATTTTGATGATCTTTGTTTGACTAGAGAATACTCTGCGACACTTAGCTTGAAAAGAAAGGAAAAAGTGTTCGTGTGTGGTTTACACTTCTTATTCACTCTCTCCCAACTAACTTGTCCTTGTTGTTACTCCTCTGTTTTAATGTANATATATATATATATATATTCGGGGAGGGTTTTACTGAAAAATGGTGTGGTTTCTGTATGGGTCAAAATCTGCCTTAATGGGATTTAGCACGGAATGGTATTATGGAAAGTGATGCGGCCGAGGTCGACTAGTAGCAAGTACGGTACTAACAGCTAGTTTTTGTAATAGGATATTTAAGGGAATATTCCATTAAATATTCTATGTACTGGTACTTTTAGGGTTGACTGAGGATATGTCCCACCCATATAAATAGAAAGAGAGATAAGGGGAAAAGGCAGGTAATATTTTCTAATAAGAGCACTTTTTGAGAAGAAGACTCTCTAGAAAAGATACAAACACTACCTTTCTGATAAGATTCTACCATCCATTATTCCATACTTTTCCATCAGATCCGAGAATAGTTCCGATATTCTAAAATTTGTCTATCATTCATCACTGTCAGAAAGAGGAATCATCCACCTCATTCAATATTGGGTGAATCATTCCCTTTATTTACGTTAATGCCATTTATTGTTGTTTATTGCTTGATATTCTTCCGTCATTACTCATCTTGAAATATTAAATGCACACTGCATTTAATCCCTCACCAACATTATCCTGCGTTATCGGTGTTAACTAGTTATAAAATCCAGGGATATTATTGTTAACTAGGTTTAATCCTTCACCCCATAAACTTAATTAGTTTAACCGAAGATTTACACTTTCTGGTCAAACAGTTTCAGCAGCTACTTAGCACATGGGTGATAAATTAAAATAATTGAGTTTGAGAACTTACAGATTTGTCATACTTTTTTCTTTTTCTTTCCAAAGGAGATGGTCTTACTGAAATTGGTGTGATTCAGACATTTTTTTTTGATAAGTGGTGTGATTCAGAAGTAATCTAGTACACGATGGATAAATTTAAGCAAAACTAATTTAGGAACTAGATAACATGATGTAGATATAGGAGAGCCTAGTGGGCATCTTAGATCTGTCTCTTTCAAAAACAGCAACTCTTTCTCCTGTATACATGGGGACAGAAACGCAAAGGGATGGCGGTGTAACTTAGCTTACCTCTGATAGAGAAGGAATATTTAATTTGTGCATGAACACTGAAACTTTTGTTCGAAGAATCTCCTTTTCCTCATCATTGAGTTGCCCAAAGTAGAGAAACGTAATATTGTCAAAATACTTAAATTCCTTTCTCAACTTATCATCATCACACCAACAGATGAGCCCAAAGGATGGGTCCAGAGATACCCATTTATCTTCTGCAGTTGGAAGCACCAGATAATCCTTGGTCAAAAGACCTTCCCTCAAGAAACCAATATCTTCAGATCTCAAAGACCCTGAATTTAGCTCATTAACCCACTTGAGAAATATATGGAATACCTGAAAAACAAGTATTAAATTCTTTAAGCTAAGATATTCATCAAAACATTGTTTCATTAGCATCAAAATCATTCATCAACTATTACAATGGATGTATTTTAGCATAAAGATAGCTTACACTCTTAGCTGCTTGTGAAGGTAAAGCAGCAGCTGACAACTGCAGCAATATTTGAAGGTATCGACGAAAATGAGGGAGCTCATCCACTCCACATTCTTTCACAAAAAAGTCATGAAGGGCGGGATACATGCTACATAACATTTTGGTGAAAGGGTGCTGAACTGAATGTGGGTCAAATTCCGGGCAGACCATCTTCACTTGGTCCACCGAACCAGTTGAATCACGCCAAAAGACTTCTTTAGATGACAAAAAAACACCAGGTATAACATCTTCAAGTGAAGCAACCAACTTACAAGGGACAAACACAAAAGGTCCATTACATAATTCTTCAACAACTTTTCTCTCTGAAGTATTCATCCTACTCCAGATGAAAGCATAGAACTTTGACATTTGTGATAAACTGAAAAAAGGTAGCAATGGATGGGCATGAAACTTCAGAATAATGATGAGATAGAGCTCAGAATGAATGAAACCCGACACCTATACCAGTTTCTTCTTTTTATCTAGCATTCAGGACACTAAGGGGTCGTTTGGTATGAGGTATAAGAAGGTATATTGCTGGTATACAAATTTAATACCACCTTAATACTTTGTTTGGTTAGCAAACCTGGTATAAGTTATCCCGGGATTAAAATTAGTACCGGGATAACTTATACCTTGTAGAGGGTGGGATAATTAGTGCCGGGATAACTTATACCTTCTTCTTAGAAATTATGCAATTGTCATTTTTAATACAACATACCAAACAGTGGATAAAAAACAATACCAGGATAACTAATCCCAGCATAACTTATCCCGGCATAAGCCGTATTCAAACCAAACGACCCCTAAAGATGTTAGAAGGGGACATGTTAAAGGCTAAACAATACCTGACAATTAATGATATGGGATCTTTTGTTTCAGTTTATATCTAAAAGAATCCATGGTCCATTTCAAGGAACTCGTAGAACTAGTTAAGATTATTATAACCAGTCAATAATGGGGAAAGGCACAAACATGACTCTAGCAAAGCAACAATCTAATGACCTGGACAAGTTGTTGATGTCCTAAACAAAAGATATTATACAATATAACCAACTACAGTATGTAACTATATGAGACCAATTGATGCAACATGGACTCCTTGACCCTTAACTAATTCCTAAGACTATCCGCAGGAAATGAAATGCGGAACCATAAACATAATTTTCTTCAGACAAATGAAAAATTTAAGCATCTAACTGTTTACACACGTTTTGCAGAAGAAAGATCAGTTACCTAGCACTCAAAGATGCTTTAGCTCTCCAAACATTAAGAATTGTTAAAGTGTCATCAACTGTAACTTGTGTTTTCAAACCAAGAGCTGTCAACAACTTTTCGCTTCTCACCTGTTTCACAACAGAAGCATTAAATTTCAAGTTAAAATGAGCTAATTAAAGGAACTCCAATAAATTTCAAGGTAAAATGAGCTAATTAAAAATAAGTTCTGGTACTTCCCTATAGCATCTACAAGTCCTTGGAATCAATGCAGACTTAGCTTAAGTTAAAATGAGCTAATTTCAAGTTAAAATGAGCTAATTAAAAATAAGTTCTGGTACTTCCCTATAGCATCTACAAGTCCTTGGAATCAATGCAGACTTAGCTTAAGATAGGTACAATGGAAGAGAAAAATCCATATAGGTGATATCTACTACTTGGGGATAGGGGTGTTCATGGTTCGGTTTGGATCGGTTTTTCCCTAAAAAGAAACCAAACCAATTAAGTTGGTTCTTAAAATATTAGAACCAAACCAAACCAATAAAGTCGATTTTTTATCGATTCGGTTTTTGTCGGTTTTTTCGGTTATTTATCGATTTTTTCTTAAATATGAGACATACACTACCAAAACTTATATTCCGGCGACTACATTTTCAACGTAACACTATCAAACCAATTGCTCTTTGAGAAATCTATCATTTACCAAGATATATTGATGATAATTGAATCAAGTAGGGATGAATACTTTAAGTACTCAATTAAAAATCGATTATTTTTAACATGAAATAAATTGTTTTACATAGCAAAAGAAAACTACCAATCAAACTAGAATGTAAAGGCAAAGAATTAGATTATTATAATAGCAAAGGACTAGACTAAAAATACAAACGCCTAATATGTACCCTAAAATTTTAGAAACTTTATATAAAAATATACATATATATGTGTAATAATAAATTTAAATAGCTACTCTATAGTCGGTTTGGTTCGGTTATTAAAACCAAAACCAAATCAAATTTGATCGGTTTTTAAAATTCAAAACCAAACCAAACCAAACCTAAAATATATCAGTTTTTTGGTCGGTTTGGCTCGGTTTTCGGTTTGGTTCGGTTTTTCGGGTTTTTATGAGCACCCCTACTTAGGGGGTTTAGACTTGGTACAGAACTTCTATTATTATTACTATATATATATATATACACACACACACACGCTTATCTTTTTTTACTTGCACTTTTATTTAATTTTGGTAATGATGATGATATAAGTTGAGCTTAATGAAAGGAATGAGGATTCATCTCACCAACCCCAACTTGTTTGGGGTTGAGGTGTAGTTGTTGTTGTTTGTTGTTGTTACATAGCAGGAAGAGAAAAAATAAAAAGAAGCTACCACCACAAATTCATGGAAAATAAACAAAAATAATAAACTAAGGTTACAAATGCTAATTGAAAGAAGAATATGAAGCCACAAAGAATAAAGGGAATTTTCAACAAGCACATGTCAGCCCAACAAGAGCAAGACTGAAAGTTAAGGAACAGGTCAGACGCAGAATAAATTTTAGCTTGTCATGAAAGTCAAATCAACCACGCTGAAATCAAAACTGCAAAGAAGGCTGACGTAGTGAAATCTCCTCAGCCAAACTAGCTAAATATATATATATATATATATATATATATATATATAT